AATGTGAGTGTTAGGGATAGAACTCAGGTCCTCATGTTTGGAACACAATCACTCCATTGACCCAGCTTTTCCCCCAGCCCCTCTTTTTTAAGTAAAAAATATTTTTATGTGGTGATAACATGCTTACTGAAAAATTATAGACTTGGTGCTCTATGAAGGGAGAGATTCCAGTGATTTATTTATTAGGTGGTCTCACTGCATAAGAAGCACAGACCCAGCACAAAGCATGGAGATATGATTAGTTTTGTTTCCAGGAAGCCCACAGAAAGCCTGGAGCAGAGAGGAGCCCCTGTGTTTTACCCTTTACTTCCTACAAGGTTTCATTGCTTCCTACATGGAGCATGACCTTGGCTTTCCTATCTTTCTCTTAGTAGCAAGCCGATCAGGGTTTTGATTAATTTATTCAGAGCATAGTCAATTTAAACATTGTTCTTTGACTATATACTCTTAGGAATACTAACTGAAAGAATTGACTTGGGGAATGTGCATGTCAAAAGGGGAGGAACCCTGGTCAGCACATCAGGATTCGGCACTGTGTCCTTAAGCAGACTTCGGGCTGAAGTTCTGGATTCCATAAGTATAAAATAATCTATTCTGGTAGATTCACATCAGGTTGGAAGTGGATTGGTTCCCTTACAAGCTTGCAATGGTTCAAGACTGCAGGGACGTCTGTTCCATACCTTGCTGCTTAACACCATAATGACTAACAAGTGATGGCAATGAGATGAAGATATCACACACACTCCGGTGTACTTTGATGGATGAATTTGACTAAAGATCCATCGCACATTTGAAGTTCATCAGTCATGGCTTTGACACGAGAGCACATTTTCACCACTCAACTCCAAGTTCTTCTTGTCTGTTGCTGCAAAGATTTCTATCTGCATTTTGGAGAGAGCTGCTTGGTCTGGTTAGAAAACCTCATTACTTTTCTTACTGCAGACTCAGTGGAGCCTTCTCTCTTGAATTGAATCATACGATTCTCTATTAGGCAGACATCTAATACTATATTGCCTATATTGCTAGTATTCCTCTCTGTTCTTTTATTTGCCCTTTGGAAATGCCTCAGGAGAAGCAATTGAAAGGCGATATTTCTTTCAAATAATCCTCTCCTGTCTCAGGAAAGCAGTTTTCTGAAGATAATTATTTAAGCAAACTATATGACCTAATTTTCTAATCTTTATCAATTTAAATCCCCCAAATAGTGCATAGGGAGAATAAGTAATTAAGTGATAAGAAAATAATATACATTAAAGACATATTTGAAAAATTCTTTCAGGATAATGAGCGCTTTTATAGGTTTTCCTAAACTATTCAAGCTGTTCTCTTGTTACCTTTGGGTTAAAAGTCATCCCATAATCCTTTATGAATAATAAAAACTTTAATTACTAGATACCTATGTTTATTGAATTAAATGAGAGACTATTAAATTTTATAATTATCTCACAAAATACTTGAGACACAGATGTGACATGGTTAAATATTGTTTTTAATTTAAATATCACCTTAGAAAGACCTTGCCTATCTCCAAATTCCCGTGCGTTGAAGTAAATTCACAATTTAGATGGTCTGCATTTCTATTGGTGGGTGATAAATGACACCTCTAGTAGCCAGGGAAAAGCACCGTTTTGTTGTAGTGGTGGTTTTTTGGGTGCAGAATGGTGAAAGGCTCAACTGGGTGGTTTGTTTTGGATCTTATATCATCAACTTTGATTCATTTTAAACAGGGATTCACTCACATATGTGTCTACTTCTTGGAGATTTGTTTAGTAACTTTTTTCATTGCTGCAACAAAATACCCCACAAAAACAAAGTAAAGGAAGGAAGAAAGGGATAGTTTCAGCTCACAGTTTGAAAGTACACTCATCAGGTGGAGAAGGCATGGACACAGGAACATATGGCAGCTGGTCGCACTGTATATGTAGTCATCGGAACCCAGTTTCTTTGATCTTCCAATGTGAGCTGAAGATCAGCATCTCTCTAGGAATCTTTTTGGTCTTCTGCATCGGTGGGAAGCGGAGGCTTCTGGTCTTGAGTACTGGATAACTTCTTACTCCAGTCTCTCCAGAATTCAGTCACAACTGGCCTTTGAAGCCTGTATCATGTAAGTCAAGCTAATCTGTCCTCTTTGTATGTTCATTTATTGGCTCTGTTCCTTTAGAACAAGGCTCCTTTGCATTTCTAGCCTTGGCTCACCTCCAGCTCTGCTGTGCTGTCAACCTGTGATCTTGATTCTTACTTTAGAATTTAAACTGTCTATCGCATTCTTCCTTGGGGACTCAGTTTACACTGAACTTCATAATGCTAAAGTCTTTCTGTTTTTCTCTGCCCAGGATACAGCATTACCTCATCACAGAAGTTTCTCTTGGCCATTCTCTAAGCAGCCCCCTTCCAGTCCTGTTTGTGACAGGCTCCGTTCCTGCTTAGCACTTAACTCTGCCTGAAATTGTTTTTTTCACCTTTTACTCATTTGCTGTCAGTGTCATTTTTATATAGCTAGGTCCTAGTACCTGGTGCCAATTTATCTGGATAAGGGCACAACATCTATCAGTTATATAAATGAAATAACCACGCAGATAAATGAAAAATGTATTTGTCATTATGTTACTGGTTCTGTAGTAACAAAGTCAAAGTGCACCTGAAATACACATACATACACACACACACACACACACACACACACACACACACACACACACGGGATGGGTGGAGAGAGATGAGAGTAAAACTGATTGTTTCTTAGCATACAAAGACAGAGAACAAAATCTCATTTCTTTATTTAATGTTGGCAATGCCCAAAAATAACATAGAAAGTGTTTGGAATGAAATATACCTGGAAGTTCATATCAGGGGCTGTCTTGTGGAATCACAAAGGTCAGGCGTTGCTGTTTCTTTCCTTTGTTTCTAAAGCATCTGAAAATAAGCATTTATTTTCATGAACAGAGGCATCAGAAGCTTCATTAAAGAAATATGTAATGCTAGTGACCAGGACCTCTTTCCTGCTTGTCACTAGCTAAGCAAGGTCACTCACTGTAAAGGACCTAAATTCTGATCAGGCTATAGGACATGGCAGCTGAATGAAGGGAGGATGCAATAGTCTTTAACCACGAGTTTTCAGTGTAAAGATATTTTGTATTTGCTTGTCTTTCATTCCATGAAGTTTTGAGATAATTCTATTTTATTGGCTTATGTCCTGCAGAGTTCCACTGTTTTTCTGATTTGATTTCAATAGACAGTAGGTTGGGCTACACAAAAATACCATTATTATTTTTTTGTTGTTGTTGGTTTTATTTTGTGTGTTTCTGATCTGCAACAATTGTGAAAATCCTCAGTATCAGCTACTGAGGTAGCACCCACTCCCAGTGAATTTTGGTCTAGTATGTACCAGGTACTTGATTTTGTCATTTGTAAGAAGTGTTGACGTATGTCTTTAAATAAATGACAGTTCCACCCAGAGTCCATTGTCAGAAACAGTGAGATTCCACACCAATCTAGAGAGGTTCAGGAACAGGGGAAAGGCATTTTGTAGTGTGTCACACAAGAGTGATGGCGTCTCACTGTGTGCTTTATAACATGTTGTTGATACTTTATCTTACAATGACACCTGATGTCTCACACAGCTTTCTCTCATTCATTATCTGAATTAATCCTCAGGATCTAAGAGGAACATAATCTCATTCTCGTTTTGCTGATTTACAAGAGGAGGCAACTAGAAAGTAGAAGACGTGGGCTGTGAATCAGAAACCCCCATGGCAAAGAAAAATCGGGGGTAAATTCGTGTGCCAAAGGAAACCTTAACTTTGTATAGGATTATGCTATTGCCTAGAACTGTAGTTTAAAAGTCTCATTGTTTTCTTAAAGTAATTTTATCAAATGTTTACTTCTATTATTTTTTAGTTTTATGTATTCATCACAACTATTTTTCAAAAATAATCAATGTTTTAAATATTCTGCAGTTATGAATTATTCACCCACATGAACACACACACACACACACACACACACACACACCTTTGAGCTAACAAAAGAGCAGTTCATTTTTAGGACCAATGTTTCTGGCAAAAACAGGAATTGATTTGAAATTGAAATGCAACTGAAATTCTATAGAGCAGTCTGTGGAGTATGGATTTGCAAAATGACTATTTTCCAAAATGCATATCAGTATTTGAGGAAAGAATCTTTTATTCTTCAGCGTCCTTGAAAGAGACTTAGGCTGGGAAGGATTTCCTCTCTTTGATTGTCTCTGTGATGTTATTTCAAGCGAAATCACCACGCTGAGCAATGGGGATTGTATTCTGTAGCTTTTGCAGGCAACGCATCCCTGAGAGTCAAAGTTTACTTCCCATCTAGAGAAACACACATTTGTTAATACAATATGAGGAATGGATTCGAATTCCGGTGGGGCTTCTCTGTAGATCCCACCAGCAGAGTCCCTTCTTAGCTAATAAATAAACCCTGAATTGAAATGTGGAGGTTGGGGATTTGAGAAAAACCCCAGTAGAACTGTCTCCTTCATGCTTATGCCATGACTCTCGGCTGTTTTTCTTTTTGTTTGGAGCCATGTAAATAGCAGATAGATTGTAGCAGCCCTTTCTCGTATTGCAGTGAGCTGTACCACCATTGGGGAAGAGTCGAGTCACTTGAGAGTTTTCTCTGTACAATTGCAATAAGTATCACATGCCCTTAAGGAAATTTACAACAGCAGCAACAACAAATCCCTTTCATTTTCATATCTTGGTCTTGTAAATGCTTACCAGAGGGGGAAAATGCACTAAAAAACATTTCTGATTCTTTCCCCCCAAATACCCTGTTTTATCTTCATAGAAAACAGATTTGGTGTTGATCCAAAATGGCCCACATGTGTTAGCGATGCTTCTGAAAGTATTGGGGGACTGTGTTTTGTAATCAACATTTGAATGAGAGTGTTTGATGAATGAGTATGAGAATATCTCTGGAGGAATCAACAGTCAATGTTATTACAGTACCACTCATTAAAATTTTGAATGAGATCTGTTGAGCCTTTGAAAATGTGAAAGGTCTTGATTTGCTTTTGTATATTATAGGTATGGTTGTGATGTCTATTCACTTTCATGTGGAAAGGCTTTTTCTGCTAATGTTCTTTCTTTAACAGTGTCCCTGTTCCAGGCTCCATCTGTAAGATGGGATGCACTGGCCATTGTTTTTCAGCAGGTCAACAAGGTGACATGGATCTGAGGCAAGCTACAGCAGAGGGCATACATCCTCTGTTGAAATAGCTGAAAGGACAAATTAATATGGAAATCACAATGCTGAGTTGGACTGTCTTTCTTTGTAAAGGATCTGGTGGATTACCATAACAAGGTAGGCACACTTCTAGATATCTGAAACTGGCAATGGTGCAGCCTCCATCATCAGCACAGAAGAGCTCATATCTGAGGATGCCTGTAGAGGCCAACATTTAGAAAATTGCATGCTGACTTTTTCATCTGTGGTTCCATTTTAAAGTTTGCCTCCCTGTAAAAACCTACCTTTGATAGTTTTATTGCATTCTGGGTAGAATGTATTTCTCCAAGATGGCTTCCAGATATTTTGAGAAGAGGGTGAGTGTGACTCTCACTTCAAAGCTGTTTAGTGTAGGAAAAACACAAAACAATGGGGCTAAAGAGGTATCTCAGGAGTTGAAGCACTTGCCTATTGTAGCAAGCATGAAGAACAGACTTTATATCCCCAGAACCTATGTAAACACAGGGTGATCTTGAGAGCTCTGCAATTCCAGCCTTGGGAGGAGGAAACCAGATTCCTGGACCAAGTTGACCGATAGGACCTGGGTTTGATTAACAGACCCTGCCTCAAAGCAAACTGTGAAAATGGAGTCAAAGATTTTTAACATCAACATTGGATCTCCACAAACACACATGAATGTGCACCTATGTAAACATATATACCCATACATATGTGTGCATACCATAGACACACATACACATAGAAAGAAGAAAAATTAAAACCCATAAAACTCCTATCATCAAATGAAAAATGATCAATTTCCTATAGTCTAAAAACCTAAACTAGGGCTGGAGAGATGGCTCAGAGTTTAAGAACACAGGCTGCTCTTCCAAAGGTCTTGAGTTCAATTCCCAGATCACAACCATCTATAATGAGATCTGGTGCCCTCTTCTGGCATGCAGGACTACACAAAGGCAGAACACTGCAAACATAATGCATAAATCTTAAAAAAATAAACTAAGTTACTTCATAGTCAGGCTTAGTTTTCTTATGGCATATTCTGTAGCCCAAATGCTAAAAGAAAATGTGGTCTCTACTTTCTCAACTTTAAATTCAGTGGACGATGAATGCAGAAAATCAGGCAGAACAATATTCTCAGTACCTGTGACTTTGCCACCCATCAAAACCTCTGGTATTTCCTTGTCACAATACAAGTGTTATTTACTGGACCTTGTGTTCACAGCTCATGCCTTAAAATTTATGTTTGCTATTAGACCCAATTATAAATTATTAGAAGACAACACAAATTAAATTTTCATGTGAATTTTATATTGTAAAAAGTTTTATTTTCAACTATGTGCTTCTGTGGGTTTGTGCTCATGAGTGTAGGTACTTGTGGGGGCCAGACAAGGGAGTTGGATCACCTGGAACTGGGCTTCAGGAGTTGTGAGCTCCCTCACAGGAGTGCTGGGAACTGAACTTGAGTTCTCTATAAGAGCAATACATATGTTTAACTGCTGAACCATCTCTCCAGCCCCACACCACCTTTTCTCTTTTAAAAGAGTCCCCTGGAGCCCTGCAGTGTCCCCTTGTCACCACCTCTGTGCCATATTTCTTTCCTTCTCTCCCTAATCAAGACTCATACCTAGATGATCTGCCCACATGAAGACATTTCACTCAGAGGTGGCCACAGTGTCTCAGCTCTTTAGCTACTCAAGGACAAATGCTAGCAGGTCAAGTTTCAGAGGTTAGAACATGGATCTTATGGGCTGTTATTCAACCTCCATAAAATGTCCCCAGAATCTCCTAAGGCCAACTTAAAAGTGCACCCTCCAGAAGGATTTGAGCATCTCCGAGCATGGCTGTTGCTACCAAACCAGAAGTAGTCTAAACAGGGGTGTACAGAGTCTACATACATCAGCTCAAACCTGTGAGAAAGAAGCTCGCTGGGCCACTTGCCTACACTCCTCCCTCAGTTTTTCCAGAGCCAAGGCAGAGACAAGCATGTAGCCTATTTTCTTTTGATGATTGCCCTCTATCCCATTTTCCTCACTGCCAGTTTTGTCCCTCAAAACCCTAAATTAGATGGGTTTTTCAAGCCATATTCTTATTTTACTCAGGCCATAGGCTATGTCTTCTGTTTCCTGTTAAAATTCTGATTACGGGCAACTGGAATTGACATACCTCTCCAGGCCAAATACTGTTTCTAAACCTCATTCTTTCAGATTGGTGCTCCATATATTTACTTTGTGGGTCCAAGAAATCTTACTTTTCTATCAGTATAGCCAATACTTGATTTTTTTTTTTTTTGGTTTTTACGAGACAGGGTTTCTCTGTAGGGTTTTGGAGGCTGTCAGTCCAGCCCGGCCTCGAACTCACAGAGCTCCGCCTGCCTCTGCCTCCTGAGTGCTGGGATTAAAGGCATGCACCACCATCGCCCGGCCAATACTTGATTTTTATAGAGACTACTACTATATTCAGGTTTTCTTCACATCTAAGTGCGTGTGTGTGTGTGTGTGTGTGTGTGTGTGTGTGTGTGTAAATCTTCATATGTGTGTGTGTGTACACTTGTGTGCATAGAGGTCTATGTAGGGTATCTTCTTCAGTCACTCTCTACCATATTACTTATTTTAATTGCAAATTATTTCTAGGAGTGTTTGTCCTGCATGTATGAATGTGCTCTACAGATATGTCTGTTGACCAGAGATGTAAGGAGGAAGGTTTGGATCCTTTATAGCTGGAGTTAAGATGGTTCTGAGACACTATGTGGGTGCTGGAAATTGAACCCAGGTCCTCTGGAAGAGCTGCAATTACTCTTAACTGCGGAGCTCTATCTACATACATACGTACATACATACATACATGTATTTGGGGGGGCAGGGTCTTCCACTGAACCCTGAGCTTACTGTAGGTCAGGCTGGGCTGGGTGGTTGTCCCGTGAGCTCCAGGTATCTGGCCATCTCTTCCTCCCCAGAACTAGAGTTCCATGTGTGCACTAGGCTTTATGTAGGTGCTGGAGATTGAACTAAGGCCCTCATGCTTGCATGGCGGCCTTTTCCTGCCCTGAATCATCTCCCTAGCTCCTATATTCATGTTTGGTTGTTGTTGTTTTTATTGTGCAGATCCCCCTAGAGATTACCTGGGTCCCAACACCCCCACCCCAGGGTACTTTGTGCCAGCCCCTCTCCAGCAGACCTGGTTCTGTCACTCTTTTTCTTTGGCTCAGCCTGACTGATGAGTTACTGTTTGACAGTTATGTGGCCCCTGCTGATAATTAGCCATCACTGTGGAGAAGCTCCAGGTTCCTGTTCTCATCTAGTGAAGGAAAAGGATATTCAATGACACGTTGGTTCCCTTCTCATCCCATGTTCTCTGATTCTAAAGTCAGAACCCAGTTTTATCTCTTTTAACTGGGCATAGCCTCTTTACTCTTTGTTGTGTAGGAATGTTCTCTGAGCCAGACAACTGCTCTCTTGAAGTATTCACCTGTGTCCACTTGCAAGACTTCATCCTAGCTGGGCTGTTTATATCCTCAGCATAGGGTCAGGGAAGGTCAGAAGACACATGAGTATCCAGTCACCCTGCTCCATACCACCTGCTGTAGGCAACTCTGCCCCAACTGTTCATGGCCTGGGATAGGGCCTCAAGTATATAGGCTGGGGAGATTTGCCTGTAAAGCTATGGGAAAGCCCTTATTCCTACTGGACTTTCTGTTGTGGCCTTTGTGGGGAAGAATACCCATTCACTCCTGTAAGTAATCCCTTACTCATGCTATGTAAGTGAGTCCAATAAACTCATTGGTCCCCCAAAATGAATTTTGATAGAGTTGTGCTTCGATTTGTTGTTGGGACCTTAGAAGGTGTTATTTATGTCTTCCCCAAGGAAGACATAGCAATGCCTTTCATGAAAACAGACAAAAGAACTTTATGCAAATTCCTTTATATAAGGCTCTGTACACCATCAATGAATGTTGTTCATTGCTCTGTTATCATTACAGGGTGGGTGAAGGGGCCATTACTCATTTATTTGATGATTTTACTTCCTCACATTCACTGATGAGAATTTGTTTCGGCATTCGTTGCTCTGGGAAGATTTTCTAACTTGCATAAACTGCATCTCAATGCTGTCCCTGCATTCCGTGGGATCGCCTAACCTCCCTCCTGAGGCTGACCTTCATCAGCGGGTGAACCACAAGCAAAAGAGTGGGGACCAAAATCTACGTGTGCAAAAGAAAGATGAGGAAGAAGAAAAATCTCATCTCTGCAACCACAGGCTGGGCCAGGCTTCCCCAGAGATGCTGGTACCCTGAACTGGAGAAAGGTACAGTTATTGTGATGGATGGGTTAGGGAGGCAGCATGCTCGTGTAGCTATGAGGGTGATTCCGAGCCTATTACTCTAGCCAGAAATCTCGTGTCCCACATGTATTGTGTATCAGTAAGAATCCTAAAGAGAAATAAAGCATCCTAGGAAGGAAAAACAGAGATATTCCTGTGAGGAGACAACAAGGACAAGGTAGGGTTGTGAGAGCCAGAAGAGGGGGTTGAAGAGGGAGAGACTCAAAGTGGGAGAAAAGTGTACAAGCTGACCACAGAAAGAGCAGGGAAGGGAGGAAGAACTGGATTGCAAAGGGCAATTCTGGCTGTATGTGACCACTTCCAGGAAAGCACTAATGTGGTGACACCCATCTCCTATTCCATCTTCTGATTTCTCTTATTAGATGAATTTAGTCGGACGCCAGCCAGCAAGGGGGCTGGGCGAAGCCTCCACCAGCAGATAATGTAAAGAGTTCAGAGTGGGTAGCTACCCTTTGTATGAGTATGTATGTGTATGTATATATGCACACATTTGTATGTGTATGAATGGAAACCAAAGACTGATCTCAGGTGTCATTCCACAGAAATAGACATTGTTTACCTGCTTTGATGAGGCAGAGTTTTTCTGAGATCAGAAAATCAAAGAGTAGTATAGGCTAACTATCGACAAACCAGAGGGATTCCCTGGCCTCTGCTTTCTCTTTGCCTGGGGGATTGCAAATATACACTAAGCCCAGCAATTTTTCTTTGTGTAACAACTCTGGCTGTCCTGGAACTCGCTTTGTAGACCAGGTTGGCCTTGAACCCACAGAGATCCACCTGCCTATGCCTCCTAAGTGTTGGGTAGAAGGGAGGAGATGGGGCATGGGAACATGAAGGATCAAGAAAACTGAGTTGGGGGAAGGGAGGAGGGGGAGAGCAATGAAAGAGCTATCTTGATAGAGGGAACCATTGTGGTGTTAGTGAGAAACCTGGTGCTAGAGAAATTCCTAGGAATCCACAAGGATGATCCCAGATGAGACTCCTAGCAATAGTGGAGAGGGTATCTGAACAGACCTTCCTTAAGTCAGGTCAGTGACTACCCTAATTGTCACCATGGAACCTCCATCCAGTAACTGATAGAAGCTGATGTAGTGACCCACAACCACTTACTGGGATGAGCTCCTGGAGTTCAGTTAAAGAGAGGGAGGAGGGATCATATAGAACAGTCTACATTTTTATACAACCCATAACACTTTGCCTATGGGTGGCATTGTCCACAGTGTACTGGGTCCTCCCACATCAATCATTAATCAAGAAAATGGCCCCACAGACTTACTGACAGGCTAGTCTGATGGAGGCAATTCCTCTATGTTACAGATTCTCAGATGACTCTAGCTTGTGTCAAGGGGACAAAAACCTAACCAGCATAAAAAGCTAAGGGGACCATGTTTTGTGGATGGAAAATCACTAAGAAGAAATCTCAATGTGTGGGTGGTCTTTGGCCACACTACCATACTATGTTTTCATAGTATGAAAACAGGGTGACCAGACATTGGAGGTTAGATGCAGGAACTTCAGTCAGACACCAAGCATGGGGATTCTGACTAGACCTCTGTCTTCTATAATCCTGATCAATTGGGCTTAAGATCATGTCTAAAGTCAGGGTATCCCAGGGGATCCTGCTAAGGTTTAGTCCAGGATGCTATCCTGTTTCACTTCTGCCAAGAACTTAACAAACTTAGACAAGCTATTTAAGCCTAAAGTCTTTTAATTTGTAAAATTAAGTCAGTAACATATGTTTAGTGATTACTACTGGAGTTCAAGGATCACATGGAACAAATGTGAAAAACAAACTTCCAAGGCAGCCTGGGAGATCAGTCATGGAGCTGGACTCTGAGGGGTCTGCTCTTGGTAAGGTCTTGGATGTTCTTCATGTACAAACGTTGGGCTTAGAGAGCTGAATGGTAACACACAGAGATGGCTGTATTGCCACCAACACCATCCTCTTCTTATTCCATAACATCTGAATTACCGTCTTTCCTACTAGAGTGGTCCAGAGACACTCCATTTCCCAGGCTTCCCGGCGAGGGGCAGGGAGCTCTTTCACTCTTGTTCTTATCATACTTTCTCCCCCATATGCTTGCCTTCTCCAGGGGAGGGTGACAGTGGAATGGCCAAAACCTAAAGATGGTAGACCTACCCCTAGCTAAGGGCTAGAGAGGAGCTGAGTCCCTGCCCTCACATCTACTCAATCAGATTGTACACTCTCCTTTGACAATTACAGGTAAGAAAAATGAGCTTTATTCTAGTAAGTCTCTGATTGCCAAAGCCTCTTAGTTATAGTAGCTTAATGGGACATTCATGCAAAGTAACCTATACATTCTGTAATAGGGAAAATAATGTTTTCACAGCTCTCCTCAGATAGTTGATATAAGTTATCCTAAATAATATGTACACTTATTATTTCACATACAAGAAGTATCACCATAGTCTAGGTTCCAGGAAAGACATTTTCAAGTTTTGATTCTCAGTTGTTCACTCATCTCAGTCCTCTTCCACATAGAGTCTTTGTTCTCAGATTGATTCTTGAAGATATCAAAAAATGCCTCCCATCAACAGCATTATGTTCATCTCCAATGAGAGAAAGGGATGGGGAGAGAAAGGAAAGAAAAGAGAGAAAATGAGAAAAAGCAAGGGTAACTCTCTCTGGTCTTTCTAGATGAACTCAAGTCAGGCTTCTAGACTTGACCATGGGGAAATGTCACACCTGTAAGTATTTCGATGGTGGCTTGGATAGAATGGACAGGGATGGATTATGGCACTCGGGAACCAAAGAATACTGAGTATTACAGCTCAAATGGCAAGGTATCCTGGCAATAGGGAGCCAAGCAATACCACAGGTAGGTCTCAGTAAGCATAGCAGCTTACAATCCTGCTTCAGAGAAAGGCTTCCCCAGTGTATCAGCTCTGCTCTGGCAGGAGAGGGTTTCCTGGTGAAGAAGTTGTTACAGTTTGGCTCCAGTCCCCTAAGAGCTGAGTGTAATAATTTGGCTTCTTTAGGGGAAGGTTTCCCCAGGGAAAAGTTACAGCCCTGCTCTGCCCTGTTCTGCTCTGCTCTGCCCAGGGTTGTCTCTGCTCTGGCAGAAGAAAGTCTCACCCAAACTTTTGGGAGCATGGGGTGGGGAGGAAAGGAAGCCAGGAAAAAGAGAGGGGGAAAAGAGGAGGGGAGAGGAGGACATGGGGGAGCAGGAAGGTTGAGTTGGGGGAAGAATATAGGAGAGCAGGATGAGAGATACCATAATAGAGGGAGTCATTCTAGGTTTGAGGGGAGATCTGGCACTAGTAAGAGCTCCAGAGATCTACAAGGATGACATCAACTGGCAAACTAAGCAGTAGTGGAGAGACTACTTTAAATGCCCCTCCCTAATAATGATTTGATGACTATCTTACATACCACCCTAGAACCTCCAACCAGTGACAGACAGAAGCAGAGGCAGACACCCACAGCTAAACACTGAACTGAACTCCTGGAACCCAGTGACAGAGAAGGAAGAGTGATGAGCAGAGAGGTCAAAACCGGGCTGGTGAAACCCAGAGAAACAGCTGACCTGAACAAGGGGGAGATCTTGGACCCCAGACTGATGGCTAAGAGGCCAGCATAGGACTGATCCAGACCCCCTGAATGTGGGTGTCCATGAGGAGACCTAGGCAATCTATAGGGTTTTGGATAGTAGATCAGTATTTATCCCTGGCACACAAATGGACTTTGGGTGCTCATCCCACAATGAGGGATGCTCTCCCAATCTGGACATTTGGGGGAGGGTCTGGGCCCTCCCAGGAACGAAATGGCAGACTCTAGAGATTCCCCATGGAGGGCCTTACCCTCCCTGGGGAATGGAGTGGGGATTGGGTAGGGGGCTGGAGGGACTGGTTGGGGGGAATAGGTGTGGAGGGGAGAGAGAGGGAACTGGGACTGACATGGGAAGCAAGCTTGTTTCTAATTTAAATATATAATTTTTAAAAAGTGTTTAAAAAAGAGATTTATGGGGGGAGGAAGAATCCAGGAGAGTGGCTGCCCCCTGCCAGGGTGGCAGGGGACAGCTGGGCAGCCTGAACTGACAGAAGCTGAACAGGCACAGGGTTTATATAGGGCTTGTTAGGGACAGAATTTTTCCAGGGAGATTTCCAGGGTGGGGATTGGTCAGATTTCAATTCCTGAGTTTAGGATGGCTAGATCTCCTGCTCAGGAATTGGTTAGTTTTCTGCACAGGGTTAGGGTCAGATTTGGCTCTGGTTCCAGGGCCGATGTGTGTTTCTTTCACTGGTCCTTTTTAGCCTTTTGGCTCTAGTTTTAGGGCTGGGGTGTATTTCTTTCACTGGCTCTGATTCAAAGGACAGAGTATGTTTCTTTGGCACTTGTTTCAGGGTGAGGGTACATTTCTTTGGTTCTGGTTGCAGGGTCAAAGTGTGTTTCTTTGGCTCTGCTCAGGGTGAGTTTCTTTGGCTGGCCCCTTCTCCGTACAACACCCCCATTGGCTTGAATCACATTATCCATTCATCTATGGCAATGGTCCTGGGATTGTTATAACAGCATTTGAGGAGAATCAGGTAAACTGTCTTACCCCAAGAGCTAAGAATGGTTCTCATTTTTTTCGAAATGCTTACATTTCAAATGGTCATAGAAATATTTTGTCAATCCCTCCAATCTCACCTATTTGCTCACAAAACCTAAGTTCTTATGTTTGGTACAGTGGTGCACAGCCATAAGCCAAACTTTGCGAGGAAGAGCCAGGAAGATGCCATAACATAGGGATCATTCTGGTTGTCAGAGTAAGTTCCTGACCAACTTAAGCTAGAAATGCCTTAAACAAGAATAAACAAGCTAAAGACCCAAGATTCTTTACTATTTTGTTCTATAAGAAAAATTCAGTCAATTATTTTCTATTTTCCTTTCTTTATGAGTATGGGTGCATTCATGCAAAGGCATGGGTGTGGAGGTCAGGAGGCAATTTGTGGGAGTTGGCTCTCTCCTTTTATCATGTTGGTCCTGGGTATAGAACTCAGATCGTCAAGTTTGGTGCCAAGCACCAATGCTAGCTGAACCACCTTAATGTCCCATTTAAATTCTTAAGGATTTCATTTTCATTACTTACTTCTGGATTTGTTGGGTGGGGCACACACGTTCTATAGTGCATGTGTGTAGGTCAGAGGCCAATGTTCAGGAACACTTCTCTTCTTCCGTGATGTGGGACCTAGGGATGGAATTCACGTCACTGTGATTTACTGAAGGTATCTTTACCTTTCGAGACATCTCCCCAACCCCAGCTGCTTCCTATACTCATCAGAACTTGTGACTCCTTACTGTTCTGGGAGAGAATCACCCAGAAGGGGAGGGAAGCTTATTTGAAGATGTGGGACTTCAGATGCCTAACAAACCAACATCAAGCACCCACGAACTTCAGCAAACTGTCAAGGTTCCCTTCATTAATTTATGTCACTAGGATTATTAATGTTTATTGTGTCCACTCAATAAATTCTGCTCTGGGCACAATGTTAATAATTGGGACACCTTGCAATCAACTTCTCATCCTTTTTGTTCAGCACCTACTTGCTGTGCTTGCTCCAAAGTCCTTCTATTTTAGAGTTGTGGAGAGAGAAATGTCTGGTCCCAACTAATGCATGTGTGAAGTAGAGCAGTTAGTGCCATGCCAAATGATGGGAAAGTCTAAAAGTGTTAAGAACATATCTAGTGCAGATAGGGTCATCCATAATGCTGATGGCCAAAGCCCTCCAATGGGCTTGACCAATGGTACAAAACCTGGGCCCGTGTTTGGAATGTAGCTGGTGGAATGTGCAATTTAGATTTTAAAGATCAATGTGAATTAGTCTCAATCAGAATTCACTTCTGGATGAAGGCACTAGTCCTAGAGACAGGATATGAGTAGGGATCAATAATGTCTCATGTGCTCATTCTCTGAAATCATCTCTACAACAAGGTTACAAAAAGGTAAAGCAGTAGACTGGGGCAAGGCTCAGTCAGTAAAGTGCTTGCCTTGCCAGCATGAGGACCTGAGTTTGATCCCCCAGAACCTGTGGTGGCCACAGTTCATAGCCTGTTTGATATCAATGCATACATGTTTTTCTATGAATGTAAACACTCAAAAATAGGAGTTCATGCACATACACAAATAAACTGTTGGACTATATGCATGTATGTATGTCATAGTATGTGCTTTCTAAAATTGGACTTTTTAATTGAATATTTTATTACAATTTTTATTTTGCATGTGGAAGGAATGGCTTCTTTCCTTGTATCATGTAGGTCCCAGGGGTAGGTGGACTTCTTTACCTGATGAGCCATCTAGACGGTCTCTGCTCAGCTTTTCACTTAACAATACAAGCAGCGATCTTCCCATGCCCATTGACATCATTTTACCCTTTATTTTAAAGTGCTGTGAAGTAGTCCATTTATTTTATAGGTTTACAGATATTTATTTAACTAATCTAATTGATGAGCATTTAAAGAACTTAGGTAAAGTTGTCACCACTCCAGAAGATGGGATTTGATGGATAATTACACATAGTGTTTCTGTTTGGAATTTTAATGTCTACTGGTTATTGCTTTCAGAGCATTTAAGTAAAGTAAAACATGTCCTGACACATGCAGCTTAAAAATCACTGTTATGTCTGCAGTGGGAAGGAACAGTTCTAAGCTCTCCACACACTGTATTCCAAGTATAGGGAATGCAACTTCTTCCATGCCTGTTACTTGTACTATGATCTTTGTGCTTCCTCTAAATTTATAAATTATCCAGTTCATCCACACTTTTGCTTTTCCATGTCTGTGATATTCCATTATCCTAAATTCAAAAATAGAGCTAATTTTTTTCTATATTTTCACTCTTTGGCCGACCAACATTCATTTTGTTTACATTTTATTTATTTCTTGAAACTATACCCTCTTTCAGATTTTGACACTTCATTTGGGTCAGGAATCTTTTTCCCTCTTACCTCCCATTATGGTACAGCTGTCTATTGTCACCTGAGAACTTCTACACACATCAGTTGGAGGGTTCCCTCCATTTTCACCTATGTTAAATTATCTGCTTTTTTTTTCAGTTTTATGTCTTCCTTTTTTTATTGTTCTTGACTGTATCCATAGCACTCTGTTCAGTTTTTCTGAAAGGTAAGCATCTGTTTGTCAACTCACATAAATAAATAAATAAATAAATAACAGCATAGCTGGAGCCACATACTACACCTACGTTAGACAATCGATATAGC